TAATGTCAGATGCATAATCAGAGTTTTAGTAAATATACTCCTTGGTTCCCAATATGCCTTCTTTACTTGACTCCTTAATACGATTAAGGTAAAACATAGAAGCAATTTTGGGTTTACAAATGAGCCAATGAATATAGATTTTTGTTTGTGAGAATAGTGCTATTGCTGTCATTTTCCTCATAAGCATGTATCCAGGCTGTTCACCCAGTCTTCATTTAACGCCAAGTCTGTAGCTAGGTTCACATAACTACCAGAGAAAAGAAGCCGCTGTAGCTTCTATTCTTCATTTCCATGCCTGCCAGTTGCACATTTCTCCCAATTAGCTTCACTGGACAATTGCAGTGTTGTCCAAACCCAACAAGGAGTACAGCTTCCAAACCACCCAGAATCCTTAAAACACACGAGGTCACAAGGAACTTGGAAGCGATTCCTGCCATGTATCTCACCAGGTTCAGATGCCACAGCAACCTACACACCACAAGGATAAGTAGGCAAATCACATAGCACACAACTGGAATGCCTTTTTGAAGTGATTCTGCAAACCTGACCAGGGCCTGAGTCCAGATGTAGACACTTGGAACTGAGCTGTCAGAAGTGGACTTCCTCACCTCTGCCGGCCTCCAGCAGACCCTTTAGCTCCCTTCGAATACTACACACAGGGTTGGGAGACCTATTGAATAGGGTGAGCTGTGGTGTGCGAAAAAGGGGATCCCCAAAAAACAAGTGGAGGCACCTTCTGTGTGTGGACTCCTTCCATCAACAGAAGGCTGACTGTAGATCTAATCCAGTGGGCACAGCATGTTTGGAGGAAAAGAATGTTTTTGAAAATGCATAGTGTGGAACAGTTGATCACCATCACACAGATGTGGGAATGATAACAAAAGATGGAAGTTCCTCTGTGAAAGAATCTGCAGAGTTTAGCACTGTCCTTCTAGAAGTAAAAAGCATCTTTGGAACTCTAACCCTTCAGTTCATACTAAATTGATCAAATGATTACAACAGATACTTTACTGGATAATATTAAACAAGTGCTTTACCATACATCAGATCTCCAAAGCTACTTTCAAGTGGTATTTTGTAAGTTAGGCCTACCTGTTTCTGCATTTACAGACATTTTTTGTTATTAAAACACAGTTAAAACCAAACCATTGTTGCACAAAGTGTATAAAGAACTCAAAGGATTATTTAAAAAAAATAAAGAAATAGGAGCTAACTCGTTGCCTTTCATTCAGTCATCTGCACATTTGGAAGTCAGCACCTATTCATCACAAGCAAGAGCCAGTTAGTTGCATTGTCTTGTCACCCTGTTACTCCTCTTCTGAGCCTCAGGATCAGTTGGCACATTTCCTAACTGGAGCATTGAGAACATGATTTAAGGGGAGCTCTGCAAATCTGGCTATCTGCTGAAGCTGTCACTCCTGCAACCAAATGCCCAGCACTCAACTCACCGCACCTGAGCATGTCACTGTGTTGCAAACTCTGCTAATAACACTCAATCTAAATGTTCACTGTGCCAGCTTGGGTGTGTGAAATGGCCTGCAGTAAAAAAGAGACATGTATCTGTTCCGTGTGATTATTTCAAAGGCCAGTTAATTAAAAAGTAAAGTTGGCAAGGGCAGTTTGTTTCAGGAGAGTTCTTTTCAAATTAGAACATAAACCAGTCACCCTGTAAAGCAAAACTATTTTAAATTTATTATTATTTAATAATGTTATGCCTCACTGTTATCAAAGGAATTTCTAAGCAATGTAGAAAAATAAGTCTTCATACAAAGGACGAAATTACCTTCCTATGAATGCCCCATGAAAAGGTATGTTTTTAGTGGACACGGAAAACCAGAAGGATAAGTGCCTGCGAAACCTGTAGCAAAGTTTCAGAACCTGTCCTCACCCTTGATAGTCCAAACCTCCAAAACCTGGGTCTCACCAGGAGCATATCTTCTGCTGAGAACAGCAGCTGAGTGGGCCGAGAGAGTCAAGCAATTCCTTTAGTATTCTGGTCCTGATTAGGGCCTTGCAAACAGGTATCAAACAAGCAGAAAGGCAGCCAGAGCAGCTCTCTCTGCCCAGGTGTGATATGCTTGTGATACACCATTTTCATTAGAAACCAGGAAGCTGCATTCTGCACCAACTGCATTTTTCAGTCCAACCTTTGGGGTGGTCCCCACACAAAGCATATCATAGCAATCCAGTTCTAAAGCCATGACCTGAGCAGTCTAACAAACCCTGTCTGGACACGGTCCTAACAGTGTCACTCACCAGAGCTAGTAAAGGGTACTCTGAGCCGCTGAGGACCCCTGTGCCTCCAGTGACCGTGCTGGATGATTGTGCTTGCCCAGACCACACATTGGCTCTTTCAGGGGAAGTATAAGCACATCCAGAGCAGCAACTGACAATTCCCTGACACAGGATTCGTCCACTTATATAAAGAGAGATGCTATTCCCATACAATCCATATCTGTCATCTTTCATAGCACTTTCCCAACACCATCTTCTCCTACCACCAATGTAGACCAGCATGTAGATTCAGTATGACTATTTGCTAGTTAAACTGTAAATAGACCAATATTCATCTTTTGAAACTCCTAAGAATCATTATGTGATGGCCTCTCTTTTAAAATTATGATGGGCTAGATTCAATATGTTTTCTCCCAGAGGAGCAAAACAGCATCATTAAAAAGGGGGAGGAATCTTTGGTACCAATCCATTGGTTTTTAATGGTTAACTGACTTTATAGTTTTCTTCAAAACATACACTTTTCTGCCATTTTATTTAGGTTTCAAGAGGTCTACATTTCAAAACAATCCTTAAAACACGTGTGTCTCTCACATTTTTATTATATAAGCAAAAATCAGCATTTACTTATGGCATTTATCACAACACGTATTCAAATAATATACTCTAGAAAGGGTTTCTGTAGCCCAGCAACTCTATACAGTTGCAGTGGAGTGATGGTAATGTTAGCTTTGATCCTATGATTGGTGGCCAGTGAAACCCCCTTTTTATGCAGTTCCAGGTGCCCCAAAGTAGCCTCTCTTAAAATTTGCTTCCTTGGTCACTCTGAGCCACCTGAACAGTATCATTTGTGTTACATGGATGGAACTTAAATAACATCCACATGGTATACACTTGCATTCATACCTTTAGGTAGATTTTGTTTCTTGAACGGAGTCAGGAGAGCAGACATTAGCAAAGCTTTCCCTTGCCCTGGCCTTTTACATGTGGTCATGTCATTTCTGGGCACTGGATAAGGTTTGCATTACCACCATATAAAACTAAAGCATAATTTGGGAATGCATTCTAATTGTGCAAAAGGTGTCAACACTAGCCATCTCTCTTACAAAAAATGTGCTATGGAAACTAAGGCTCCCATTTAGGAAGTACCATCCAAACTATTGGCATACAAGAATGAACCTTGATGAAAGCCCAGTACAAGGAACCTTTAAGCTTCTAATCTTATCCATCACTAATACCAGCAGAATAGCTGGTCTGTTCTTAGTAGCCTTTAGTGTCCTTTAAATACTTTTCTCAGCTCAACTTCCAGGAAGACAGGAACTAACTACCGCAGCTATCTAGCATTATTTACAGTGCAGTAAATGAACCAGTTGTCATACGAGTAATTTGATGTTCTTCCTTAAAGTCGTATCACTTGAGAAACACTGAAACACACCCAGTGGCCATAATCAGTTCTATATAGGATGAAACACCTATAAGACACCTAAACTGGCATATCTTTTATTACCTTTTTATTATGGCATGGTTTTTATTACCATTTTATTATAATTTATTATAAAATTAATGTGACTGTGAAAACATTCAAATAATAATCTCATAATTAGATAGAACAGAAAAGTAACTAATCTCTAATCTTGGAATCATCTTTAGTAATGGTTCATAGTTTGATGAGTTGTTTGTGCATATGAGTTGTTTAAATTGTACTTATGATGCATATAAACTATTTCTAGTGCCTATGTTTATATATATTAAACATATTGGTAGGCAAACTAATATATGCATAGTCAGAGAAGAAATGTTAACATGCGTCAAGACAGCTGTATGCTCTCCCTACAATGTACAGAAAGCACCATTCACCACATTAGCAAATGCTGTTTTTGATGCTCACCACAAGTAACATAACATTATTTCTGCATATTACATAGTCCTTTCATAGGCCAATACCAATGACATTTTTCTCCAGTTGCCATTTCTGCAGCTGCATATATCCATGAGCTGTGGAAGTTCTATGCAGCTGAGAATTAACTATTTTCCCACGCAACCTGCTTCAGATTTGAACCTGTGAGCTTGTTTACTCTTGGAACAGCGTAACAGTCACATTAAGAACATATTGAGTAAACTATACAGTATGTCAAGAACACTTCAAACCCCGAGCACTACCAAAAGAATTATAAAACTATTCGGCTACAGGTCAGGATGGCAATACTTTCTTACAAACATGAGGCAGTCTAGAAGCAACGATGAATTCGGAAGGATTGATAACCTAGTTTTGGTATCATCAAGATGCTAAGCTACAGAAAACAAGAGATGCTATCCATAGCCTGAAAAGAATTATGAATCAGGCGCCACTATGTGCAGGCTGTTTTGAATGATCTTGATACCTTTAAAAAGAAAGTGCACAACCAACACCTTTCTAAGATTCCAAATTGTAAGTAAAACTACGGAACACATCTAGAACAAGCAGCTATGTGTCCCAAGATAATGTCCATGTACCATTTGATTAATATAATTACAGCCTTTTGTTTTATCTTTGCATATACATGCACACATTATTGTATGAGCAGCATTTTTCACCTCATAACATGTTCAAGTTATGCATTTTATAATGCTCACAGAAGCCCTTTTCAAGCTATCTTGTGCATACTCACCAGATTACACAGTCATCACAACAGGAATGAACAAATAGTGTGAAGGAAATGCTGCATTGCTCAGATGTAAAAAGGTACAAATATTCACAAATAAGAAGTGAGGGAACAGTATGCACAAAGTGAGAAATAGATGTGCATTTATTGTGCAAAAAACTGATCATGTAGAAAGATACATTTGGAAAAAATATCAAAATATTACATGCTTATTTTCATTTGTGAGAGTCTTGAACAAATCAACTGGAGAATTAGGAAATGAAGAGATTATGTTTATTACACACCTTGATTAATTTGGAGCAATATGGAGATATTATCATGTAACAGTGTACTGCTGCATGCAAGAATCTCACTTATTCCTACTCACCAAACAAATGATTGCTACTAATGCCAAGACTTTTACCAGTGGTGCTCACAGAGCTGACAATGCCAACCCACGTATGTTCATCTAAGGCTTGAATGTCTTGGGATTACCCCATCACAACACCTTGTGCATGCAGGGATATTTCCTTAAAAGCAAACTGTACACAGAATCCCGTGTTTATAACTTGCCCTAGCCACACTAAGGTGCTTGTATGCAGTGTCAAGATCAAACCAAATTATAATAGCCATAGCTATACTTTATAAACAATTCTGACTTCTCTCTTACAAAAGGGACAGCTTTGAAGTCAAGTGATTAAGATACAGTGAGCCTTTTTACACAAACATTTTTAATAAAGCAATGAACAAGAGAAACACGGAATCTGTCAATGCTGCTTCTATCACAAGAACTGAACTTACTCAGTCCTTCTACATGAAGAGGGCAACTATCAACATAGTAATGGACACAAATTATCACGATTTAAGAAGCCTTTGTGCAGCAATATATGCTTTCTTCAGTAACCTAAAATAAGGAAGATAGTTTGCATACACTTTGTTTGCCACTATACTCCAATCGATGTAGTACTATGCCCTAATGCCTAGATGTAAGAAACAGCTTAGAACAGTAGCAAGAGGTGGAATGCTGTGCTAATTCTTATTAAAATTTGTTTAATCATTTGGAAGCTTATCATGGTAAACAGATCACAATGGAGCAAAATTCAAGAATTAAAATTACCCAAAAGCTTCCCAAAGTAATGGACTTGAGCTATACAAGGTATTTTTGCCCTTCTGATTCATATTCAAATACAAACTTTAAAATAGATAATACCATTCAACCAAAACATGTTATTTCTAAATATGGACAGGCACGTTTGGTATTTTAGAGAAAGCAAGCACTTAAGCCAATGTGCAGTGTTGTTTCCAAGATACCTTGTAAAGAGGCTAAACACAAGACTCCAATCACCATAGAGAACAGTGGTAGGAAACAGATTCAGCATGGAAAGCCATGTTGTAAATAACAAGTGATGTGGATGCAATTAGTCAGCGTGTTTTATGAATCTGACAGGTGCCAGACTGGGATGAGTTCACAAGTTACATTTATTCTACAGTACTTTTAAAGTCTGAAAGTCACAGCAACCTTTTAGGGACAGGGACACAATATATGGACTTCATGCAATTTGAAAAATTCTAGTTTTTGTAAAAATTGTAATTCAGGCATCTTCTTGCTCAGATCCTCTTTTCCAAATGTTTAGCAATTTTTTTCATGCCACTTTCACACTCCTATTTGCAGCCATGAGAACTAGAAGCTTTAAGATAACAATGGCGGGTTTGTAAGTAGTCTACAAAAAAACTTTATAGCTGCACAAATGTAGCTTGGGGACTATATGTTGTCCAGCTGACTGAGCGACATACAATACTTGTGTGAAGAATCTCAGAGCAAAAATTCATCTGAATGTTTTAAAGAAAATGTGATTAAATAAAACTAGAATACTAGCAGTGGTTTCACAGTCATGAAAAATGAGGAAGGAATAAAAGCAGCAGTACTCTTACAATGCAATCCTATATATGTCTAATCAGAAATGTCTTACTGAGTTCACTAGAACTACTCCCAGGTAAGTGGACGTAGGATTGCAGCCTTTACTTACTAATACTGCTAACAACTTATTGTTATATTAACAAATAAAGAACCCGAGACATTTTCATTAATTATTATATTTTCTGCATTATAGTTTAACATATGTACTTTCTTTGTGTCACCCTTATTTTCGTTAAGTATTGATATTTTGTTATATTCAGCCTGGAGTACATTTTTGGAACAGTCCTTTGTAATAAATATCATAAAATAGAGATTCACATAATAAATATTCTTTACAATAAAAAAGTTTTAACAGACCTTTGTCTTAAAAATAGTCAGAATTCAACTTTGTGTTTTTACATAAAATATACAAAAAGCACCACAATTTGTGGCTAAGGCAATAAAAGCAGAAAGGATTAAAGTTACTGAGCACATGGTTGTAGTTAAATGTCATTAAGCTGCAGAAATAATAGAAGTGTTAAAGAGATCAGAGAATGTTTACACAACCTGAACTGTATGATGCCTGAAGATTACTCAGATGTGCAGAAACTAACAACTTTAGTATCAAAAGAAGAAACATTTAAAAACCGAAAATTTAAGGCCTTGTACACATCTGAAAGCTATAGAAACCAATGAAGAAAGCTGTAGCCATAGCATCTCCAATGTGCAGTGAAGGTGGGGGAAAGCTAAGCTAGTAAGATTTCATTATTTGGGCCAAGAAGAGTTAAAGAATGGTGAAGGTGAAAACAAAAGGCTGGTTACAATTTCAAAAGAAGGCAAGACTTAATTTGCTAGGGTTGCACCCATATAACAAATGATTTTTCTTTCTTTTCATGGATTATGAAGTTTCTAAAAAATAAAAATAAAAAGGAAACAGATACAGTTGGTTAAAAAAGAGTTGCACAAAACAAAAGAGCATCTTTGGGAAGTTGATTGGAGAGTTGAAGATTTCTGAAAAAAACCAGGATCCTTGTGTTTTCTTTCAGGAGGGTATTATCAAAAAACCTGAGATGACTTGCCAAAGAAAGAAACTGGATGCAAGTATGTGGGTCATGCTTAGTAAAAGCCAAGAAAATAGATAGGTTTGCCTTCACTGTGAGAAGCTATGGTGCAAGATGAAGAGCTTGTGCATGAAAAAGGAAAAGAAAGAAATGGAGGAAGGGTGTGAAATGAAAACAGGAAAGCCAGCCACAACCTGAAGACAGTCTAAGGAACTGAACATCCCCCCCAGAAATCAGGAGGGCTTGCTTTGGCCCCTAGAAGGGCAACTTTCTAGCTTACGATAAACAGTGTTGGAGTTTTTGCATCGGCAGCCTGGACGATTGATCCGGTCATAACACCCTCGGCACAGTTTTAGGCATCCTTTTGCAGGAGGATAACAGACCAGGCAAGGCAAAAACAATGACATGGCCCCCATGCACAAGTACCTAGACCAGCAATGTGACTGGGAACAGGAGCAAGGATTATCCGCAAAAGAGTCCCCTTCATCATCATTGGAGCAATGGTAGAAAATGCATTTGACCAGGCACATACAGGTGCTGTATTCCACCATGCTCTCTGCTGAGCACAAGCACTGCCTGTTGCAGGCCAAGCAGGAGGGCAAGGCCCTGGGTGCGGTGCACTCTCCACATTTGCACTTTCCACACTGTTCACAGATAAACTTGTGCTGCGTTGAGTCCTCTTTCAAGGGACTTTTCAGGTCATCTACAATCAGAGACGATGGCTTGGGTTGCGTCCTGATTGGCCTTTCTGATCTGTGGCCTGGCCCTAGCCTAGATGGAGGTGACCTTAGCAGAAGCCCCTGCTCTGAAGAAGCACTGCTGTTACTTCCAGAGCTAGCAGCACTCCCAGTGCTTGTGGACCTGCTCAACACAGGAGCTCTTGTGTTGTATTGATGCAGCACATGCCCTGAGTGGCTAGGCCTGTGCTCATAATTATTATTCACATTAATCGGTATGATATCATGAGTCCTTTCTCGTTTTTCTGGTCTAGGAGCTGTCCGTGGAGTGGACTTCTTCACCACCGATGGGCCTTCAGTGTACTCATTGCTGCCCCTGATAGTCTTGATCTGATCCAGCGACAAGATAGTGGTGGGCTGAGCATCTCTTTGCCGGCTATCCAAAGAAGGCTGCTGAAGGACAACTACTGAACTGCCATTGCCGTGATGACCTTGGGACTCCATCTGTAGTGATCTCTACTTCTGGCATTCACCAGGAACCTGGCATGCATCTGAAATCCTAAAAGAACAAACAAAAGTTGGGAAGAAGGGTGAGTTGCAGAAAAAAAACAAAAACACCAAACATTCTATGACAAGCTGCAAATTGCCCCCGGTTCCCAATAACACTATCTCAGAAATGATTGGAACCAACAAGGGGTCCAAGCACCAGGACGCCAACCAGTTTAGGTAAGAGCAGGCTGAAATTTATGTTATAACTACAACAAAAATAACAACAACAACAAAAACTTTTCATTTCTGAATATGAAGTTATAAAATCACAAGCAAACATTATGGTCAAGGGCAGATGCCCAACTGCAACTCACACTACTAAAGGTTGCTGTGAGTTAGCAGGAGATTGCAATGTAAAACGTTCAGTGGCACAAGCTGAGCTACAGGACTGCACAATGTAGGAATGACAGAACCACATTCAGACTCCAAACAGTATGTGAAAATTCTTATTGGACAACTGCTGTACCTGTCAAAGTCACATTTCAAAACCTTATTTTAAGCCTTAATTCAACAAAGCTAGATTTTTAACTGTGATTCCATGACGCTTGTAGCTGATTAGCAATGGGGAAAGTATGTGAAGAATTATTTCTAGGTACAAATAAAACCTAAAAAATATTCTAGCACATCCATTAAAGCAAAACATCATGTAAACATATCCTGTTACACAATCGGGTTCAACGTGTTCTTGGACTGTAAGGTAGAGTGTAAAAAGAGAAGGTGGAGGTAGAAAAGGATGTCATATATCAGATGTTTGTGAATTTATGTCTAGTTTTTCTGACAAGTGATGAGTAAATACATATATTGTTGCAAAGCAAGCATACAGGAAGAGTTTGTAGCATACCTGACTCAGAGTTGTTCCTCTCATATTAGGCCAAAAAGAAAGAAACAGTAAGAAACAAAGCTATGTACTTGAACTGTTCTGGATTACGGTCTACATTTCTTGGATCCATTACAAGAAATGTAGTGGCAACCACCACTGTATCATCTATCAAAGTCATGTTGCAAACATAGGGATACAATTCTTGAATTCAGAAGCGTCCAAAGAATTCCTAACATGAAGCCTTACTAGAGACAGTGGAAGGTTTCTGGACAAAAGATTCAACAGGTCTTAAATACACCATCCCATTAGGTAATACTAACATGATAAGGCCTCATAAGGGAGTCAAAGCTGAGCAAATTGCTCAATAAGTTAATAATGAAGGAGAATTTTGAACCAGATACTTCCCAGCTCACTCATTTTCCCACCACATAAGTCCCCTTGGTTTTAAGATATTGGTTTTATGCAAGCTGCCTTAAAGGGGTCTAATAGGCAGAAAAGTGATCCACAAATTGGAAATAGTGGTGCTTATTTATAAATATCAAGTAACAGCAGTGCTTCTGTAATTATACAAATGGATTAAGTAACCAACAATTTGGTTTCCAACAACAAATGGAAAGTTCTCCACTCCTACATGCCTAAAACCCTAACAACTCTCCCCCCCCCCACACACACACACCCATTTCCTTCTCTTATGTGTGTTAGGTAAGATCACCAAAAGAATTCAGCAACAACTTGCTCCTCTTTAAAAGAAAACTCAGGACACAGAAGAAGAGCAAAGCACAGCCAAAGTTTTATCCTGTCCTGTATTTCACCTGATCAAAATGTAGAGTGTAAGATAAAGAAATCTGCTCAACTCAATCACACCTTGTCTGCTCCATGAACAAACCTTTAGCAGAGCACAAGAAAATACTAGTGGAAGGAACACAGAGGAAACCAGTTACAAGGAAGTTGTAAGCAGGAGAGGGAAGAAGCTGTCTTTTCTCTTTTTCAGAATGAGGCAAACACAAAATCACAAAAAAAACCCTGCCAGGCAGATTCATGTACAGCCTATTCTATCCAAGATCTAAATAATGCAAGCTTATCAAAGTTTACTCAGAGGTAAGTCTGTGTGTTCAGTAGCGCTTACTCCCCTTGTAAGCAAGGGAGCCATCACATCATCATTAGGATTGCGGCCATCACCACTACCGCCATCGTATTGTAATTGAGGAGCAGACACAAAGACCTTAAAGCCTTAATCAGGACTTAAACAAACAAAGAGGTTGCAGCATTTCTCCAGGTACTGTGGCTTTCAGATATCATCAGCGTTTTGCTCGTTTCTCTCCATTCAGTCTCTCCGAAGCCGCTGAAAGGCAGGCTTTTGATGGTGTGGGGGGTGCACTAAAATTCTGCTCTGAATGGACTTGAGAGAAACTAAACAGCACCAGACTGGCGAGAGGAGGAGGGTGGCAGGACTGCCCACTCTGCAATCTGAGCTCAAAGGAGGCGATGAATGCAGAACTGACGGGGAGGAAGGAAGAGGAAAAAATTATGAATGAAAACAAGGGATTTTTTTTCACCCCATTAGCAGGAGGAAGGGGAAAGGCTGAGGTTACCATTACCTCAGGGGGGCGGACTTTCCAATACTTAAAGCCGCATCGCCCTTCTTCTCTACCTTTCAAAGACCAATACGAAAGATTTGTGTGTGCTAGTTTGAGCACGCAGGGATCCCCCCCCCCCTCCCCCTTTGGTGCTTTCTATGGAGGTAGGAGGCGGAGTGGAAGAATGGGGGAAGCCTTTTTATCTCTCTTACCCACCATTTCCTCCTTGAAGCCTCCACGCCTCTCCACTGACCTGCTAAATTCTCACCCAGACTGGAGGGGAAATCCCTCAGCGCTGACTACATGCAATTAAACACACACACACCACTACCAACAGCAATAGAAAGAATGGTTTTAAGGAAATGTTTCACTAAGCTACTGACATCGTTTGCAACAGCCACGGACTAACAATACTTTTGAGTACTTACACAAAAACCACTAAATAAATACTCAGTATTACAGCATCGGCCTGTCTCCAGCACGTTCCCTACACAGTGTTGCATGTGCCCCAGACTGCAGTCCTATTAAAAAAAACTCCCTCTCATTGAAAATGTCCAGTTCACCCCTAAACATGTACTAGCAGGACGCACTGACATTAACTCCTGATGTTCAGGTTTACCTAATTCAGGTTAAACCATTTCAGATTGGGCAGGTTTGTTTCACAAGTGTCCTTTTCAGTGTGCCTTTTCCACACGCAAACTTGGTCCAGGTCAGAGCCATTTCAAAATCGGAATATACATTCTAGCCAGTGCATTTCCAATATCCAAGTTAAAGAAATGCCTGGAATGCAGTAGCGATAACATCAGTAATAGTAAATTGCAATAATTACAACACATCACGCAAAACAGAACCAAGCCACAAACTAGTTACAACCCAAAATCGAATCGTGTCAATGTCACCAAAGTTTACATTTCAATGTACGTTAGATTTATTCTCCTCTTAACAGGGGAGAAAAAAACTATCACGGATCCCAAAACTGAATCAAGGTTTTTGAAAACGTGCAAAACTACTTCCCCAACAGAAACACCTGGCAGCAAAGTTCGGTCACGAGTTAACTCTTTCATCGGGCTGTCCCACCCTCTTTACAAAAGCCAAGCCTATTCCTCGCCCAGAGCAGTAAGTTCTGAGCCCTACAATCCTGGCTGAAACACACCCCGCGTTGTCCTTTAGGACAAGTCGAGCTATGCACGTACGATCTCCAGCGAAGAGTGCGTGTCCTGCTGGAGCAGCCCTAGCCCCGTGCCCTCTCCGAGCGCACTCGCCGCCAAGGGCCCACACACAACCGCGGGGAAGGCGAGCATGAGGGCACCTGCTAGGGGCTTGAGCGCCGCACGTGCAGAGCAGGGCGGTCAGAATCCATATTGCGAGCGCAGCTGGGACGTTAAGGAGGAAGGGTGCAAACTTACGTCTTTGAATGGCAAATCCGCGTGAAAGCACCACCCTCGCTAAGTTAGATCCATAGGGTAGCGTGTAATGATAAAGTCTCAAAATGCCGGAGCAACCATTCCCAAGCGGGTGAGCTTCGCGATTCCCCCCGATCCTCGATCTCCACCTCCCGTTCGGTCGGAGAGGCCAAGTTCTTCTTTATTTCCCTTTCTTTCCGTGCGCACGAAGCGATCACGAAACACAGTTCCTGACGTGGAAAGAAATCCAACTTGCTTGGCCCCCGGACACCTTTCCTGACGAAACACGAACATTCATGGGGGTGCACTACACCGCCCTCCCCTCCAGCGACTTGTTCATGAAGCCCAACAGTTTTCTCCGCGGGCGACGGCTCGCTCAGCGCCAGGGAATCCTAAAGGACGAGGCTTCTCTGGCTGCCAGGTAAAGGAGATCGAGCTGCTTTTGCAAACCTGATCTACAGCAATTCAGTCGCACGCCGCATCCACACAGCTTGGAGAGAGTGCTAGTAAGCAGTGGGAAGGCTTCGGTAAAAAGGGGGCATTCGCGAAACAAGCTTGCCGCCGCCTTGTCGCTGCTCTGCTTTCCGCCAACTTGGAACTTGCTTTTCCCCTTTTCGAGGCGCCCGATTCCCCTCCCAGTCAAGCGCGCGTGCAGTGTAGAGCCCGACCGCTTCCTCGACTCAAGGCTCCTTTTCACCACATGGTGTTTCGCCCGCAGCTCTCTTCGCCGATCTTAGGCTAGGCAAAGTATAACAAGAAGAATCCAACAAAACAAAAGATAATAAGCAAGGGGGAGGAGAGGAGGGGAGGGGGGGAGAGGGACAGAGAGAGAAGCACCGTGAACAACACAGGCGCAATTCCCAAGAATGAGCAAGAGAGGCAATGGCTTTCTGCAAAACTGCCATGTGCTTGCTGCTGCGGGCTGGTTGACAGGCTTAATGCTCCGAAAGCACTGGGGGTGGGATTGCAGATACAATGCAACCGCGATCTCTCTTCGTCTGTACAAACGCACGCGCGCGCGCGCGCGCGCACGGTATTTGCAGCGAACCCCCGTGCAATCTAAAAGGAACAAACGTTCCAGCAGCACTGCAAATGGGGGGCAGTGGCAGTGGAGCACCCCAAATTCTACCACTATTGCTTAATCAAGTGTGGCTTGCTACGTCTTCGCGAAAGGCTACTTCCGAATTTAATGCATTTAAGGTGCTGCAGAACATTAAAGCTCGGCATTTAACTGATAATTATACTATCTACAATTTATTTTGAAAGCCTCAATAGTTCGTAAGCATTGAAGCTAGGAATTTGGTTGCATACAGTGATCTTGATTCAACACAGAGAAGAGAGCGAGAGATTTAGCAGCACCTGAGCTACTTCCAAAATGCCTTGCAAAAGCCTTCCAGATCATGATTACCGAAAGCAAAGGTTAAGAGCCGCTTCACAAGGCGCATCCGCAGCAACCGGAGCTAAATCCAAGTCGTCTACACGAAGAGGCTGCAGTTGCTAGTCGTTGTCGGCTGCGGCTATCACTTTGCAAGCTCCTATTTGCTTGAACGTTGCTGTTTCCGAATGAGCTAAACTCCTCACGGCAGCATTTCAGCGCCGAGCCCCCACCTCAGCGCGCCGCCACTCCCCCGATGATGTCAATCTGTCACTCAGAAAGCGGCCGGGAAAACCTGGAGTGGAATTTCCCCCTCACTCCCGCTACTATAGGATAACTGTTCCTTCTCATTCATTCGTTCGTTCATTCATGCATTTACCAATTGCAATGTTTTGTTTACCAGCCTTCTGCATTTCTTTTCACATCAAGAAATATTTTCCTGCTATTATTAGCACACAGTGGAATCCCCACGGCCAAGTGGAATTGCCTGTCCGCGATTACTTAACCCAAATTGGTCACTGTGCGAACACATATTCATGAACCTTAGTATTAGAATCAGGAGTACTACGAGAGATAACAGGTGTATCTCTCTCATCTCTTTAGGAAGTGGCTAGAGCGAGGTGCCTAATCTGCTGTGCAGTGCAGTCCTGTGCATCTTGACTTAAACATAAGTTCCATTATGGTTCTGCAGGACTCCAGCCAGAATTATTATATACAGGGCCAGGACTTGGTGATTATTTTGAATTAATTAAGCTGGATTCAAAGAGTATCATCTGGTTGGTTGGCTGGTACATTTCTATTCTCCCTAATAGCCAAAACTGTTCTGCATATTCACTCAGAAGTGAGTGCCCCTCACGGGGTTTATGCTAGACAAAATGTGCAAAGCATTGCATCCTTATTAACATTCCTCCCCTACCTTTTCCCAAAGGATTGAACTGAATAATGCTAACATAAGCCATAAGTGGAATACCCAGTTAAATGTTAGAACCTCTGGCCAGGTAGGGCCATGGTTGGCACACTAGCTTAAACTGGCGAGGGCAGTTCATGCCTCTACAGCGACTGTAGCTTCCAGTGTCAGAGATGGATCAAAGGGAACCCCCAGACTGCAAAGCAATTATCTCTGTCTCTGAACAGGCCTACACCTGTACAATGTATTTCAAATGCAGTGGTACCACGACAGTCATTGCTTTTTATCAGTGCCTTCCCTGCTTAATAGGTCCCTGCTTCCCTTTATGTCATTTTTCTCTTTCACTAGTTTTTTCATATGTCTGCCCAGCACAATCTATTTGCATATATGTGTAGTTAGGATTGCTTATACCAGTGAACAACTTGACACAAAAGGCAGCTGTCGTATGAACACTTGTTTGAGATTAAGTGCCAAAGTCTCAGTGAGGCTTATTTAGAGTTGTGCTGGGATGCATCTCATCAGGGCCAGTGTGGTGTAGTGGTTAAGATCACCAGACGAGGACTCAGGCAGTCTGGGTTCTAGTCCTCACTCATCCATGAGCCAACTGGGTGACTTTGGGCCAATCACAGACTCTCAGACCAACCAACCTCACAGGGTTGTTGTTGTAGGGATGAGACTGAGAGCAGGAGGAGGAGAATGACGTAAGCTGCTTTGAGTTCATTGAAAAAAACAGTGGGATATAAATCTAATAATAGAATTGCCATGTTATTCTCCACCCAGTTTGGAGAAAACTTTTTGTCCACTTTGGTTATACGCAATCATTTGGCTTGATCTGAAAACTGATCCTTCTCATTACTCACTCTAGATAAAGTATAAATGTTAATCAGCATTACTCCCCATGCAAATTCTTAGGAAAATAAGCTGCCTGCCTACCCACATTGTGAGAACTGCCCATTTATCCCTAATCACTGCCTCCTGTTCTTTAAGCTGTTATATGTATTTTATTTTACTATATTTAAGTGGCTGAACAATAGCATATGTTCTTTGGGTAACTCACATGAAATTTAAAATAATACAAAGCATTATGCAAATACAATATCAAAGCAGTGAGAGTAAGTGAGTGAGCGAGAGTTTAACACTGGTTTTTCCAGCAGAGGAAGAAATAAAATAATTAACACACAGCTATATAATAAAACACAAACCATAAATAGAGGTGCCTGGTTTGTAAAAACACAAGTTGTTTAAAAGCCCCTGAATCAACAAAAAGGATTTAAACTGGCACATAAACGTACACACACAAAACTTTAAAGATGGTGTCAGGCGAACTTCTCTGGAAAGGTTATTCCATTGTTCAGGTTAATTTGATGGTAATACTCTGGGTAGATCTTCTGAAGCGGATCCTGTATTTATAAATGGGAGACTTAAAATACCACTTTCCCCATTCCTTCCTGCCAGTGCCCTGCGATCATAATCTGAAGCTCTCCTCCAAGTGCATCCACATACTGAAATTCAGTGAGTGACCAGGCCTTTTTTGTAGTGGCCCTGAACAATGGGATGTATTCCTTAGGTACCCATTTTGTTGATTTTTGGATGCCATGAAATACCTTTTTATTCTTCCAGGTATTTCAAATAAATTTAACTGCTGTGTGTGTGTGTGTTTTAATGTAGATAATGAAAGGTAATCCACCGCTAGCAGTGATGGAAAGCTGAGAGCAAATCTGGACAAGTCCACAAAGGAACCCATGTTAAGACTTATTCTGTAGGCTTAACTAAATCATATTTCACCACACCACTGCATTCGTACTGTGTTTCATGTTTTAGAACCTATCACAACCTGGTCACCAAATAACCAAACTGATCCTGTAGAGGCTCAGAGCAGAATGTTTGCTGGACATCTTGCAGCTCACAGCTCAGGTACTGAGAATCCATACATTTCTTGAAATAGTTCCTTCACTTTATTACTTTTTAATATATGATTGCCCATCCATTGGGAAAGAGGAGGTTGGAGAGGATAAGGGTACTTCACTTTTAATTCTATGTTAAGCAAATTGGCGACTTTGTAACAAGGGATACAAGGAGAATATTTTTGTTCTGCAAAGACCAATTTCAATAGCATTCAATTTTCCTTCTCAGTTGCACCACCTACAAACTACAGTAAGTTTGTTGGTTAGGTGTGTACAAATTTAGCATGCCATGAAGTACAAAAGTAATGTGGCATGCTGTTTTGTTAAATACATATTTTGTTAAAGTAATACTGATTCATTGGGTGAGATCAAGCATTCTACCTCCACATGTTATGGATAGGATAAGATTGGAAGGAGGAGGAGGAAGGAAAGGGGAGTGGAGGAAGGAGATCACTACAATTCTAAGCACAGTTAGTTGAACATCAGTTTGTAAAGAGTGGGATTGCTTTCAATGAAATATGTTCAAGAATATTAGGTTGCCAGGGTCTTTTTTCAGTATAATTAGGGGTCACAATTTCTGGAACTGCAGAAATGTGTGACAGGGTTAAGAACTGTAGATCTGACTGCTGGGAGTATGATGAAAGAAGCTGGCTGTTTTAATTATAGTTGATAAAGGTACCAGAGGAAATCTATCATTACTGATAAATAGCATATCCTTTCAAAAACAACCAAGTAGAAGTCTTGCCCTTTTTTCCTCAAGGAGAAGCCACTCCCTGTGTGTGGTGAATATTATCAAAGGAAGTGGGAAAACTTAGCATTATATTGTGTGTGTTGATACTGCCCTTATTCTGCTGAAGATCTGGGAACCCTCTAAGGAGGATGTCTTAAATGCATATGTTTACAGACTCTTACAGTATGCCCTCCATCTTTGAAAAACGTCCATTAATTCTTTGATGGTAAAATGTCACTGTCAAATAAGGGAAGTCTCTAAAGTTCTTCCAGGGAGTGCGTGCTTGTGGTTGTTAGAAAGAATTGGCCTTGATAATTCAGCATATTCCAAATGTGCTAATCTATCTCTATGGTGATCTTTACTAATCCATACAGCAAACTGATGATTAGTGAGTTCTTTGTAGGTGCCACAATCCACAGAATCATCCCCTTTATGCTTCTGGTTCATGTGTCAAGAGAAAAGGAGTCAGTGTCCCACATATTAGGCCTAATACAGTTTAATACAACCTGTGCCACATCAATATGAGTAGTATACATAGACTGGAATGTACAAGTATCAGATGCAGAATTAGATTCTACCATGAATCACATTCTTATTACTGATGCACTCTGGATTTATAATTGACTCTCAGAAGACAGAAAATGTTCTCCTGAGACACAAGTCATATGATTAGTCTTTTTCATTCTTTCCATCTGTATGTGGTAGGAGTTGGTCCATACTTCCTGTAATTTGGGATTTATTGCCATGATCAATTTGCCACTTGAACAATACCCAATGGGAGTTACTATTGGCCCTTTATTAGCAGCTTCCTAACTCTATTTAACTGTAGACGTTCCTGAAATTAATATATAGATCACTCAAAGGAGTTCGGCAAGGCTGTATACTGTCGCCCTACCTATTTAACTTATATGCAGAACACATCATGAGAAAGGCAGGCCTAGATGAATCACCAGCTGGAATTAAGATTGCTGGGAGAAATATCAACAACCTCAGATATGCAGATGATACCACTCTCATGGCAGAAAGTGAAGAGGAACTAAAGAGCCTCTTGATGCTGGTGAAAGAGAAGAGCAGAAAAGTTGGCTTGAAACTCAACATGAAGAAAACTAAGATCATGGCATCCGGTCCTCTCACTTCCTGGCAAATAGATGGGGAAGAAATGGAGGTAGTGACAGATTTTATTTTCCTGGGCTCCAAGACCACCACAAACAGGGACTGCAGCCAAGAAATTAGAAGACGCTTGCTCCTGGGGAGGAAAGCTATGGCAAATCTGGACAGCATACTAAAAAGCAGAGACATCACCCTGCCAACAAAATTGCGTATAGTCAAGGCTACGATTTTCCCAGTTGCAATGTATGGCTTTGAAAGTTGAACCATAAGGATGGCTGAGCACCGAAGAATTGAGGCCTTTGAATTGTGGTGCTGGAGGAGATTTCTGCCAGTCCCTTGGACTGCAAGAAGATCAAACCGGTCAGTCCTAGAGGAGATCAACCCTGACTGCTCTTTAGAAGACCAGATACTGAAGATAAAACTCAAATACTTTGGCCACCTAATGAGAAGGAAGGACTCCCTGGAGAAGAACCTAATGTTGGGATCAATAGATGGGAAAAGAAGAAGGGGAAGGTAGAGAATGAGGTGGTTAGA